CAGACTCTATGTCGAAATCGGGGTCATCTGCATGTGCGGCGCGGCCGCGGCGGACGAACCTGAACATGTTAAGCGCTAAGTGTAGATCATTGTAAGCACCAATTTTGTTCCCAACCCTGCCTGTCCGGTAGTGTCTCCGCCACGCTCTCATGAAGCATCGCTAAAAAAGCATCTATAGAACACGCAAGCTTGTCGTGTCCACTCTTGTTTTTACCATATCGAAGGTCAGGGACCATCGTCGTTGCACGCTTGAGGCGTCGACCACCAACGCCGACGAGCTTGGCGAGGCATCGGAACCCAATGGAATGGCCCAAGAACGAAGAAGAGGTAACGCTGCCCTTTCCATCCACCGAGAGAGCAAACTGAGATGCATTGATTATTACTGGTTCATTCAACGCACAAAACGTGGAATATGTTCTTCAATTTCTTCATGGGGTTAGCAGGCTCAGCGTTAGCAAAACCATTTTGGACTATATAATCAACCAAACCATTTGGGACAAGACACGAGGGAGTCTTGGTCAGTCTTGGAGAGCTCCCAAAACTCTTGCATGAAGCCACGGACCTCCTTCTCTTTGTACTGGCTGAAGCATGTTTTGGCGGCGCCTCATGGAAGGACACATGTTCAGGTTTGGGATGATGTCTAGAGCATGTGGAAAAGAATTACAAATCAAAGTAAAAGCGTCTACCAGATACCAGATACTACTTGCATACATGTCACATAGACATTCATCCATGGCAAGGACCCCTGTAATCCTTTCAGAGCTAAGACCATTCTCTTTGAACTTCCCAGCAGTACGTTCATAGGCTGCTCTCGCGGCTCTTTTGGAATTGTCATAATGCCGTTTGGGTTTCTCCTGTTTGCCAGCCGCAGACACCTCTTTGGCAAAACGGGCCTTCGCAGCTTCATGGAGCTTGTGCCACACAAAGTTCAGGGCAGCTGAACTCAGTGTGTCTTCTAAGGCATCGGAGTCCCTTGAGCATTCCCCATCACTGGATTCGCTTTCTGGGTCGAACAGCTGCTTCTTTGAACCGCTAGGCTTGGATTTGACCACCTGAAGACCCTCCTCTGGCTCAGCTTGGAAAAGTGATCCCGGTCTAGAAAGCGCCTCCGGAGGCTTTGTTCGAAGTCTGGATCTCCCTCAGGGACAGATTGAGAGGGATGTAAGCCACACGAATATTGGTCAAATCTTTTAAATTTCCCGGACCCCATCTCCTTCATCGCTTCGATCTAGCACTGCGCTAGGCGGCTCCTTCCGCTTTGGTCGCCGCTGCTTCTCGGGCCCTTCAGGCTGGAAGAGCGGCATGGCATGGGGTCACCTATTTCTTATTGGGGCTATTGAAAAACAAAGCAGTTCTTGGATCATGATGGCGTCAGGGCTCAAAAAGAAGTCAAAAGAAGTAAATTCAATCGAATTCAAGAAACGGATGTCCCTTTGATGCTGAAGAAGCTGCGGGACAGGTCTCAGAACCTTGCCCAAATCCTGTGTTCCTTTCATACGACTCCGGATCCCAAATCTCCAGCCGTCAAACGCGGATTCTGGGGCGCCCAGCTCCTGTCACGCACGAGAGGGTATAGCCAGCCCCCTGCCAAGTGACTACATGATCTTCTTAAATAACACTGGGTTGCGCAAGACATGAACCACCGCGCAATATCGATTTGTGTTTCCACTTCATGTCCGCTGTCAAGGCTGAAATATTGTGCTTAATTGTTGAATTTGGCAGCCCCTTCCACCATAGCAACAGACCGAAACAACACACAAATTTCACGAAGCTTTCGACGGATTGTGCCACACAGGGACGGGACTTACTGAATAGCAATCGTTGAAAGCAACATCGAAAATCCAACGCTTGGCAAGTGCATTCCATTGCCACTCATTGATGTTAAGCAGCCCTCACTGAAACGGATTCCATCGGCCAAAGCAATGCGCTCCTGGGCGCGTTTGAGTGCAACACGGGTCACCCCTGCTACTTTTCAGAAGATACAGGATCTTAGGTTTCGAAGAACCAACAGAATCAATCAGCTAAGGCTTCTGCCACACCAGCTTTTGCACACTGCGGGCCCCAAACGGGGTATCCAAGGCTAAAGAGCTTTTCACGGCCAGTAAAGACCCGCTGCAAATCCTCAGACCTGAGCTGTATGGGCTGTTTTTGGTGCAGGTATAGTGAGTCACAGTGAGTGACAGTTCATAGTTTAAAGACAGACTAGGTACCACAAGTGGGATGTGCTCCGTGCCAGTGTGGGGAGCTCATTGTTCTGAAGCTCGGTTCGGCCTCGTACCCCTGGAGTTTGGCCCAGGTCAAAGATTCTTTTGCCCGGGTGCAGTCGTCGGTACTTCCGCAATGACACGCGGTTTGACCTTAAAGCACGGTCATGAAGTAGGATCCCAGTTTCCACACTGTTCTTACTCCAAACAGTCATGAAGCAATGTCATGGTACCCCAAACAGTTGATTGAAGTAAAAACTGGAAGACCTGCCAAACAGTTGTTTTCCACACTCCTCCACGACCCATGAGGCCCTGACTCTGATAGACTTGTCTCCCCCCAACTGGAAGACCCAAAAACCTTTTCAAGTTGATCAGGGCCATCAATGGCAAAACAAGTAGGGCCCAGCGTTGGCTTCGTGTGCTTGTCTATCAACATCTTGTTGGTGAAATCATCGAAGGTCATTTCCTTAGAGCAGGAAAAACTGGTACTTGTTGTTCAAAACGTTTCAACGCGCATCATACTATGAAGATAAAGCATTCAAGGCTCATGTCCCCAACAGCGTTTGCGGTCCCATGTCAGGCGGTATTCCCGCAGCCTTCCAGAGGGAGATCCAAACTGCTGAGGGTGCAGCCTCAGTGGACCAGGCACTGGTGGGAAGACTGGAGGGAGGCCGTCGTGATAACATTTCAAAATGCTTTCTAATTTTTCTAATGGGTTCAAGCAACGTGGTTTTTGTGACCTCCAGTGTGCAATGCTCATCTAGATAGCTGCTGTCGTACCCTTGCACGTTTTCCAGAACACTCTGGCAACAGTCGTTCATCGCACGGGCCCCCACGGCGTGCACCTGCGCCTTGTCCAAGTTGCGAAAGGACTCTCTTGGACCAAGCCTCAGTCGAGCAAGACTTGCAAAATCGATATGATACAGTATGTATTCTGGTTTTGACACATGTGAACCCGTAAAGTAGTATATACATCGAAATAAAACCAAGTACATTACAATACTCGCTGAAGAACCGGCTGAACAGAACGCACGGTGTTCCCAGAACCAGCAAGTCATCTTTGGCAAAGCGGAACTTGCAGTTCTTTCCATGAGCGGCGCAGTAAGCCGTTTTACACCATTTGATTTCCTTTGCTGCCAAAATCCTGTTCTTGGGCAGGGTGTTCTCAATCATATTGAAAACATCAGTGAACAGGCAGGTGTCACTGAAGGTCTCTTGCAGCCACTTCTGGCACCTGGTGTCTTTCTCTACCTTAGTTGCTTCTCTACCCCTTTTTTGAACCCAACCCATTTTCACACACCAAGTGAGACGGAGAAAAGACTAAGCATATGATAGCAAATGTACAAATACAGATTCATCCCAAGCACGGCAAATTTGAAGTGAAGGCCAGTTTTGGTTCCCCACAAATCTTCGGAGGCTTTTTCAATCATGCACCAAGCCATTCGCGCGCACTCAATTCCGCTGAACATGGTGATGGCCCCGCGCTTTTTTGAGATTTGGACGATGCAACGATCACGTCCAAACGCCATCTCGCACATCTTGAGGAGGTTGTGAGCCCACATCCTGAACCGCATGGGGTTGTAAAGAAACCATGCGCGTGAGGCTGCGGCAACAAAACATTCAACCATATTCAACCGTGGATGTCGAGGCTCCCCAAGTCAGCTGCCTTTTGCGGCATCGGATAGGTAGTGGTCCTTGGGTCATCGTGTCACGTATAAAGTTATATAAAGGACCAGGTCTGGCAACAAGTGACCTGCAGACAAACAAGGAATGTCACAAAAAAACGGCTACAGCTGAATGAATGGCAAACGCACGAAGGATACTAGGGTTGTTGCTGCTGGTGCTGTTCTTCTGCTTCTTCTGATTCTGCTTGTTGCTCTTCTACGGGCTCGGGTGTGACACGTGCTGAACAAACGGCAGCAGCGGCGGCAGGACGCTTGATGGTCTTGACCTTCGCGGATGGGCGTTTGAAGACGTCGTCTTTCTTGGTCTCGGTGGTCCCCTCCTTCCTGGGCTCAAGTAGCCAAGAGCATTGACCCATGGACCCATGAAGAAAAAACATTAATAGACTCCTGAACAAATTGGCGAGTGCTGTTAGTTTTTTGCTGAAGCTCTGTTTCTTTTCTGCCAGCAGGGCAGCCAGCGACTTCACCATGGCCTCCCTTTATGTTCTCTTGATTTCTCTTGATATCAAAATGCTCTGGAATATGACATGCACTGTAAGCATGTGCAAAAACTTCACCAAACTGCTTTGTTCGCGTGATGCAAAGTTGTAAACTGTTTGTTTCCACTCTTGTTTCCACAATGATCACCACACCACCCTTGCCCGCAGGTGCGAGCCTTCTGCAGCCAGCGCCGTGGGGCGTGGGCCGTGGGCCGCAGCGCAAAACAGCGGCGCCCGCCCCCCCCCCCCCTCTTCCCCCCTCTCGGACTAGACTCTAGTCTAGGATCCAATTACCACGAAATCAGACTCACTTAACATGAAATTAACTTAAACACAATACTATATAATTACTGCAACATAGATCATATTCACATGGTACTTAGTATTTGCCCTGATGTCGTTGGCACTTGAACCTTGTTGGGGGAACCTATTGAGTCGCACCTCTTGATACTGAAACCTATCCGCACGGACTGAAGCCCAGATTGACAGGGCCAAAAGTTCTGCAGACCAGTTCAGACACCTCAAGAAGATTTCAGACCAGGACCATTATCCTCATACCCTGCATACCAGATACCCTGCAGACCAGTTCAGACCAATTCAAACACATCTCAGTTCCCTCTCATTCCGATGTCCTTCAGACCAGGCAAGTCTGTGATGTCCATATCCATCTGGTTCCTTTCGCTGATCTCCACCGTAAGAACCTGGCTTGAACAGAATCCCGAAGGTTCAAACAGGTCGTAGTAGGTTGAGGTGTGAACTCCAACTCACGGCTGCGACTTCTCTCCTTATACTTATCATTACCTTTAAGCATGCCAATAGGAATATCCAAGGTTAAAAGCTCTTTCAAGGAACCAAATTCAATACGTCATAGCACTGAGTCAACGAGTCACGCGCAAGAACTCACGTTATCAGGAAAGACTGCCCAAAGCTTCCACCAAAGGCGACCGAAGCGTCCAAACCCCCCAAAAGACACAGAAAAAAGGGAGCTACAGTTCCAGTTGAGTGCAGTTGCCAGGGACGAGGGGGGTGGAAGGTAAACAGGGTGGCCTCGCACCATATGTACCAGGGTGACAGTTACCAGGCTACAGGCATGACAGGACATAAATGATACCAGTTGAGTGCCAGGCGTGGACACGCGAGGCGAACCGCAAGGCAAAAAAATCCAGCCATGAAGGTCGCTCGTGGAGAGCTGGATCTTTCGGTGAGTGCTCTCAAAAGATCGGTTGAAGTCTAAAACGCTTTTACAAAGAATAACATCAAGACGATATGATGTGTTTCTTCAGCTTAAGGTTAGAGTCAGTGTGATGCACCAGCATCAATCATGTTCTCCACCATCGGATATTCTTAAAACGCTCCCAGGTCCCTCGCCGCCCTCATGCACCTCGTGGCTGAAGCTGTTCGTTTGGGCCAGGCGCTTCATATGTTCCCTCACCTTCTCCCGCACATCTGCAGCACGTTTCACCACCTCCCCACCCACTTTGTAGGAATCCTCAGCGTCCGATCGTCCCCACGGTGCGGAAGCGCTTCCCACGCACGCCCTGCGCTTTTTTTTGGTGAGTCAAACGGCCCTGCGCACTCCTGGGTCGCCTGTCCTAGTCAAAAGGGATGGACAACTCATACCGCCATCCACCAGCCATGGGCGACTCATCTACTGGAAGAAAAATATATTATAGTTAGGCTCACTCTTCGACCAGAAGCTTTATCTACCCATACATACTGATGGACACGCCCTGTGCAACATGGAATATCTTGTCTCATTTCCCATAAATCTACCAAGATCTTCTGTATTCAGAATGCAAACAGTCGCCCCAGTTTGCGTCACCTGGATCTCTCTTTGGGCGAAGCACCACAGATGAACTCCGCAAGATGTATCGCACTGGACAGCGCGTCCCGGTACAGCCTTGGTGAGCAAATCCGTGCGCGACGTGCGAGTGAACTTCACTGATTCGAGTCACAAGAGAAATAAAGAAAAATCCCACCACCAGACGTCATCTCCATTTGCACCCCCATGCTTTTCCATGAAGATCCTCCAGTCAAAAACAGAGGCTTCAAACCAAATACCCGAACCACCCCAAAACAACCACCGCCCCCCCCAAAAAAACCAGACGAGGCGACGGTCTGTGAAGCCCACGGGGAACTTCACCATCGCTTCCTCGGGAAACTCGGCGTGGGGCACGGTCGGTGCATGGCACGACCCTTGGGACTGTTGGGACGGTTTGTTGAGTGAATGTAGGCCATGCCGTGGCGGGTGGTGGGACTGTTTGGACTGTTGATTTATTTGTTGACCCTTGGGACCATGGCGGGTGGTCTATTGGGATGAATGTAGGCCAAAGATGGCAGCACCGGTGGAGCGTTTGGATTAGGAAACGAGAGGACCGTTGCAGGACCGTTGCAGTGGAGGATCATGAGAGGTCGTTTCACCCTCGTCAATGAATCCAAGCCTCGGCCAAATCCTCAAATAAATATTTAGATGTGAAATTAAAGCCATGTAGCATCATGATGCATCATTGTAGCCCATGTAAACGAAAAATTGGAGCATCCAAAAGCATACAGTAATTCTTGGGAAATTTATGTCTTTGGGTGCTTGGTTTTGACCAACAACCAAAATCTATGTTTAGAAACGATATGAGTGTTTTTCAATGCTTTTCACCCAAAAAGGCTGTCACATGGAAAATACATTATCTAACATAAATAGATTGTTAGATACAGTCATACAGTAGTTAAACATTTGAGCCCCATAGCAATAGCGCCGAATCTGGGTGTAAACAGGCAACTGGGACCGCTTGAAGTCGGATCGCTTGATGATGAATGACTCTACGTATAAGCCGGACTGCGCATTTGAGAGACACACCTAAAAAATCCTAAAACTCATCAGGTATCCTAAGGCCAAGACAGCGTAAGAACTCTTGTGGAATGTTGGGTTTCAAGGACCGCGGGCCGTGGTGCTCCTGTTGATGCGTGAGCTCAGATGTTCTCCCACGATCTCCCACGTCCACGTCCCTCAAAGGGTTAGTGCCGCAAGTATCGTCCTGTTCCAGTCCAAAACCCCAAAACAGAGTTGGACTCTGAGGGCTTTCTTGGGGATAGTGCACTAGCACGCGACTGGATAGCAGCCCCACGCAAGACTTTGAGGGATCAGGCTTTCCACCATACCATTGCCCAGATTCAATAAAGCTGGTCTTCCCTGCACTCTGCATGCCCATCATCACCAGCACCGGCACCGGCACCTGCACTGCTGCAATCTGCTGCGCATGTCAGGCGAACTGTCTTTCATCCAATTCATGATGGAAGACTCACACTGGCAACATTGTAGCCGCAGCAACAAAGGCATGTTCCGAGAGAACCACAGTCAACTGAAACAGGTGCATTGTCAAGTGTCTAGGGGCTAGGGGAGTTCACAACAAACATTGTCAGCCTGAACAACATCATGCACCTGACAAGCACACCGAAAACCAAAAGCCCCGACCAAAGACATTCTTTGCACACCGCTGCTCTGTGGTTGGGGGGGGTCACGAACAACTGGCACTTTAACAGCAAATCCCATAGGCCCTAGCCGCCCGACCCGCCCACTCAGACTCCCATGGCCCAGCGCTCAGACTCCCATCTCTTAAGATTGGTAACATGGAATCTGAAAATGGACCTTTGGAAGATGAGCTTCCTCCAAAAGCCAGTGGTTGTCGGGCTCCACAACGTTCCATGCGTTAACCTTCACTCAGGCCTAAAAGGAGTTGAACATAGTTGAACAAATGTGGATGCGTGCGCGAAGGTCTGGACCATCAAAAAAAAACCGACTATATCCCCGACTGGTTTTAAAGTTGGGGGAGTGCACATCTTCATCCCAACATCGTTCCCCTCAACTGAAGAGTCAAAAGTCAAAAGAAGCATTAGTTCGAGCCCCCCAAGATCCCCCACACACACGATACACGCGAAGGATGCGCCAGGTCTTCATTCACCTGCCTGGAGCAAATTCGGGTCCATCTCTTGTACACTCTTCAAGGCGCTGTAGGCTTTCCAGACAGGGGAGCCCTGCGCGGAATCCCATTGCCAAACAACGTTGCATGAATGGTCATTGTTTCTGGTGCATGAAAAAGCTCGTGGCGTTGCACCGATGGAAGGGTGGAAGGGTGGCGTTCTTGTCTTTGCTTCGCCTGAAGACCCGGGGAAGCCCAACAACGACCGCTTTGACCAGAGCGACTTCAGCAACCGAACGAAGGAAGGGTCGCACGCTCGTGACGGAGGAAGACGAGGGGGTCACGCTCGCTCAAGGAGGGGGACTGTCAGGATCCGGGCATGAAGGAGGCCACGGTGAGCCACCAGGCGGCTCTGGGGGGGAGGGTTGAAAAGAGAATGTCGCATCTGGACCTCGCAGCTGGGGCGAGACCTGATATACCCCCGGAAGGAATTGAACTCTGGGCTCCAATCCCCAAGACTGTTTTGGACCGGTCCCTACATAACCACCACTTGGAATTTGAGCCATGAGTCCTGACGGGGATGTATGGTGGGTCGTTCGCCAGGCAGGTGGAGAAAAAGGCCGCAATGCATTCGTTCTCCAAGAATCAAGTGGAGAGCAAGTCCCCGTGGAAGACCACGAATTCTTCTAACCATTCTAACCAGCACGAGGGTTCCCTTCCATGTTGGATTGAGGGTAATTCAGAGGTTGGCAAAGCTGGCATATGGACCTTTGGCGGTCGATACCCGAAAACCAGAAGTCGACTTGCTGAAGGACATCCGGATCAGCAAAATTCAGTAAACACAGCACCTTCAAAGGGCTCGCCTGGCTGGAAGCCCCAGCCCGCTACGTACAGGGACCTCCATTGATTGGACACCGCTTGAAGGTTCAGGTAGCAGATTCCCCATGATTCCAAAGCACCAATGGTTCTGTTTTGCTTCCGAAAGGACTCTCTGGGGTGATTCGTGGCTCTTGGACCCAACCTTTGAAGCCTCGTTTTTCAGACGGGCCCACCTGGTCCTTGAAGCCGCGCCAAGGGGAACTTCCCATGTGAGAGTTCGCCATGGTGGCCAAGACAGTTGGCCAAATGGTGAGTACTTTGGGATGCTTGAGATCTTCCAGGCTGCAAGCACGAAGACGTGTCGCAGCAAAGAACTCTTCGAGGACGACCATCGCAGTTTGGCACCAAACACAACACGAAGACTGAAGAAGACTGTGCATACGAGTGCGCTTCACACAACCAGAAGACTGTTGGCCACTGACCAGTCGTATCGGCGTATCTCAAGACCTATACCATGCAACAGAGTTCAGTTCTCTCGGGTCGAACAGGGTCCTATCATGCTTAAGACAAGGGTTGTTCGGTCATGAGTCATACCCCTTCAAGAAATACTGCTTCGAATCCTGTTTCGCCCACCCAGGTGCATCCCAGCTTGCTCCCCCATGTTCTTGGATGCCATTCCAAGTATGGCTCTCTGGGATTTGCTTTGAACATGTAATAGATCTATATATTATATAATGTATATATCCCGCGAAAGGGGGATTTACCCATAGGGCCATAGGGCAAATAAACAATCACCTTGAGCACAACCATGCTCTTTACTAGTTGCGCATCGCTGACTATATCTGGCATAGAGCCTTTGCCGCCTTCCACCCATGAACACCGTTCATTCTTTTTCACCAAACCGGCTCCATTCGGCTGTCAGGCGTAACTTCTGCTCGTTCGCGTTGAGTGCACTCAGTCCTGCAAATCAATACCCCGCAGTTCGAGCCCGAAGCACTAACGGTTGGAAGCGCTGCAGTGTCCTATCATATTCTCGTCATGCTGTCGTTCGGCTCCCTCTCTACTTCCATGTGTTCTTCGCGAGGTTCGAACGTGCTCCAGTTTGTTCCAAGTTGGTGAGGTCTGCAGGGTCTCATGTCAAGAGTCCCATGGATGGGGCCTCCCAAATAGGAGTTGGAGGAGTTGGAGAGGAGCTCTGGATTCAGTGAGGGGGTGGGCAACAGTCAACAGTCCTTTGAGTGGTATCATGCACCATCTCCTCAGATTTTCGACATGGATTTGGGGGGGCGAAGAAGGGACATCCAGGTAACCTTCCACTTGGCCAGACCAAACCGATCCAGACCGACGGACCGAGCGACTGCCGGGTCGCTCGAATGGATCTGGGATCGACCGTCACCGTTTTGGGCGCCCTCCGGCAAAACCCCCAGGGCTCCAGTCGTACCTCCTCAGGTTCGGTATGACTGGACCTGCAAACCGATACCGAACCTGAGGAACATGATTGGAAGGTGAACAAACTGGTTGACCAAGCAGTCCGGGTTCACATTCACCAGCAAACCGGAGCCGCAGCCACATTCGCAAAAACCAGGCTGAATCCGTGAACAAGAACCGCCAAGGCTCGCAGCCTTCCAGGGAAATCTGACTGGTGCCTGAGTAAGGAATGAGGGTGGCTGGATCCTAAGGTATCCATAGTGAGAAATCATTCCTTCACATTTTGTTGAGTATATCTCTTCTAAACACTTTTTAGTCAGTTCATGAAGGCGAAGAACCTCACTCGCCCGCCACGGTGTCTTCCCTTTCGTCCTCGCCACCACCGATCTTTCGGGTGTAGATCATCTGCTTGCTGGACCTCGGACACCCCGCCGTCGACCCTACCTAGCGCCTTCCCTAGTTCGGGGTGCCTGGAAACCCGGAGATCTGTTTACGGAGTGTGGAGATATCCAGCCAGGTGACCCCCAACGCAGAGTCGACGATGCTTAATCATGTTTAAACTGGTTGAGCATGGGTGAGCTGTGTTCGTAGTGTCAAATCCTTAGGAAAACAATGGTTCTTTGATTAAAGGCTATGAAATACAGTACATGGTGTTTCAGTCTACATGAGGTGCCCTTCCCAGACATATTGTGGACATAGACGATGATGAACATTCCTATTAGATTATTAGAAGGATCACATAGAGGGCATTCACGGCTCACCGTTTGGGTAGCACTTACGATAAGATGAACGGTGCTTGATAGGTGTTGCCCGCTGAAGAGCGCTGCGGAAGGTGCAAACTTCAACAGGCCAACGAATGTTTGGCAGCCAGTGCCCCCATCCCCATTTGATTGGAATACATCTCCTCCTAAACAGAGTAGCCCCGTCCACTACACTACAGAAGCAGCTTCACTACACTACACTCATACGAGCCAGGGTCAAAGTAAACTCCGGACAAAACGCAAGAATTTTGCCATGTCGATCACCAAAACAACACCCCCATCAGAATGATCGAACTGTGGTTGTGCATCCTCTCGGTCTTCTCTCCTCTGCAGTTCCACAAAAAACAAGAAAGGACCAGTCCAAAATGTCAAGCTCTCTTTCTCTCTCTCTCTCTCTCTCTCTCTTTCTCCATCCCAACTCTGCTTGGCAGTTCCTCCCCACGTCAGCCGAAAGCCTCTCGTCGCTTCCGTGTCTCTCGTCGCCCCCCTGGGGGTCCGAGAACACCACGACCACGGCGGGATAAGGCGTGGGTGGAGAAGAGGGGGGGTCTCCCCCCAGTCAGACCTCTGGGAATCCTCATACTATGTCATACACTGACTATATAAATCCACATAAATCCATTGGGGCCAGGGAGGTCCCCCCACAACCAAGACCAAACCCAGACCAAGGCGCTTCTCGCCCACATGGGCGATCATGCCCTTCTCCTCGCGAGCGGTGCAGGAAGCTGCTCGACGACGCGGTTTCTGTCCGAGTGGTGGACGCAGCTGGCTCCATGCTCCACCGCGGCAAGAGATTCGGAAGGAAAAGGATGGAGGAGAGCGTTCAAAGCGTTCTAAGGCGTTCTAAGGCCGTGCTATTCAGAATTCACTCTACTTGAGGATGATTGTGACTTTGTCTTTGAGCAGCGGTCAAAAAGGCACCAGCCCCACTGCTGGAAGATGTTCCTACTTGCCACGTGCTCGAAGCATGGGCAGTGTAGAGTGTGTTCCAAGGCAACTATCCAACATTCCTCCCTCAAACTGTGCAAGGTTGTATGGCTCATGACCAAATACGCGTCACCACGCTCTCCGTTCGCACAAAACAGGAGACTGGTCGCCAGACGGGGGTTCCAGGATTCCAGACGGCCTCATGCTCACCATGGATGACATCACCCCAATAATTAAAAAACAAAAAAAAACATCCACTTCTCACCACCCCCACCCACATCACCACCAGAGAGCCCCCCACAAAAACCAAGAGAGCTCCACGCCAGCACCGCTCCACACCACTACCTCCGCACTCTCCTCACACTCTCCGCACCACTCAAATATTCCGCTCATACCCCTCATTCCGCTCCGCACCTCTTCCGCACCTCTTCCGCACCACCCCTCGCACCACCGCACCACCGCACCACCGCGCGGCGCTGCATCCACTCGCCTCCTCGCCCGCGCCAGCACCACTCGTCCCCCACCGGTCCTCCAGGTGTCGGATCGCCTGGCGCGCCACGGAGCCGTTCACCTTCAGCCGCTCGCTCACCACGGAGGGCGTGATGAGCCGCGCCTAGACCCCACGACCCGCGTGACCCGGCGTGGCCCGGCGCGGAAGGCAAGGAGGTGGGGAGGGTGCGCGGTAGGGAGGGCGGAGGTTCCAGAGTTTGGCATTTTGGGAGGCGGAGGACGGTGGGTGTGTATTCTATATGTGCATGTTTAATTGCATGGATGATATGGGTTCTGCACTGTTTTTTTGGGGGGTTCCTTTGCCTTCTTCAAGATGCGGATGTAATGGTTGTTCACTATAGCTTGATCGGTGCAGATCGGGTGGTATCATAGATCTTCCTGACCAAACGGTCTTCGGTCACAGTCACAAAGCACTGACTTTCTTGAACCACCCCACCCCGTGAAATAAGTGAAAGCTCTGGTAGAAAATGTGGACATGGTCGAAACATCAAGATGAAAAACGTCCATTTGAGCTGAATTCCCCACTCATTGAACTTAAGCTTCGCAGGATCAATCGATTCTGAGGGCTATATACCTCTTAAGGCCAGTTGCCAGTTGCCCGGAACCGTGTAAGGCCAGCTCTTAAGACACCGGGGCGACCGGCACCGGCCCGCCCCGGTGCTTCGGAATGCTTCGGACTGCCTTCTCCACCCACTGGGCTTTCGGTTTGGTTCATTCTCCCGGGATACAGATGCACACCAGGACCAATACCATCTTTCTAGATGGGATAAGATGGGATAAAATGGTTTCAACCGACGACCTGCGGACCGTCACACGAAACTTTCGAGAATTCGGAACCAGAAAGCTCTGAAAATACCATCATTCCTTGGGAGTGTTGCTATGTCTCGCAAATCAGAGTTGCACGGGTGAAACCCCTTCAAGTGTCTGCTTAGCATATTTCAAGTAAGGTTCACCTGTTGAATGATCAGAATAACTCAATCACAAGAAATATTCAGAGAATATTGGGACCACCACACTGACCCAACCACCCCGTGAAGCAGAAAAATTCCACGGTCTCCCGTGCCAGCCTTGGGGATCTCTTTCAGCATCTTGTCGTAGGTGGCCTTGTCAAACATGACCAAGTTCGCCAGCTTCTCCTTGACCTGAAGCCGAGACATGAGAAGAGGCATTGCTCGTCAAAGCATGCTGTTGAGGCATGAGAATCAAAGCCTTGGAATGCTTCACCTAAGGCGGTTGGCAATTTCGAGAGAGTGACAGTGAGGTCAATGATGCAAAATGCGGAGGAATGCTTGATTGCCTCCTTCTGTTGGCTACGACAGGGGTTTCAATGTCACTTAGTACAAATCCTGTAGCAATGGAGACCTTTTGGCGCCCATTTTGCAGCTAAAATACTTTGTTGTTCCATGTTGTTCCTGTATTGGTGGTTGTTCTATGTTGTTCTATTATAGATTCGTAGACATAGCAAGAGTGCCTGTTCTACATAGACTCCAAGTGTCGAACAAACCACCCCTCCACCATCATGTTCTTGGAAAAACCTTCAGGGTGAGTGGAGTGGAGTGGAGAGAATATCGAAAAACGTTGATCCATGAACCACCAGCAACATCACCCGTTTCGCACCGAACAAAGCGCTCTGTTGCTGTGCTCGGACTTCGGTTTCGCTTCGTGGAAGCTTCAGGGGATGTTCCGCGTCAGAAAGCTTCGCTTCGCTTCGTTCTTTGCGACAGGGAAAGGGGTTCCGTCACCAAACCCCCCTCAGGGCTGCGAGAGGTAACCCATCCCCCACCCTCGCGAATGCGCGAGGACGATCGCGCTTGACCCGAACGAACGACCGGAGTCACGGCAACCGGTGCATATCGCATCGATCGCAGAGGCCATGCGAGGCCGGAGAGGCCAGGGTCGGGCCGCGCCTTGCCCTTGGCCCACTTCTTCTTGCGGCTTTTGCCGCCCGCCATGGCCGCCTTCATCTTGGCCTCCTTGGACTTCTGCACCTGATGACTCGGCGGAGTCTCCGGCGAGCGGAGGCTCCGGTGGTCTCCGGGCGGTCTCGACACTATAGAGTTGCGCCCCGGTCTCCACGGCCCCAGGCACCACGGCCACCTGAGGCGCTCACCACCTTGTTCGCACCCATGGCGAGGGGTCGAAGACGAACCGCGCCACAAAGGGGTGACGAAACCGCGCTCCGCCGTTGGGGGCCGCGTCAATCGCCCTTGACCGGTCCAGCCGAAACCGCCACGGAGGTCGGCGAGGTCGGCAAAATGGGCAGGTCCGCGATGTCGGCTGGAAAATGCAGGCAGGCAGGGACTGACTGATTGACCCAGCAGATGGATCTACCCATGAAAAAAGGGTGGATGGATCGGGCACCTCAGCTGATCGGTGAAATCCTGCTAACTGGTCGCTCTGCCTCTGTCAGTCCAACAGCTCGGTCCAACAGCTGGCTCGAGGTCCAGTGTGTATTGGAATAGGGAGCCCCCAGCTCCCCCCCCAAAGATTAGACCTGCCGTGCTTGGTTTCAACGAACGCAACACATTCGTCAGTGGGATCCATCAAGAAATGGTTGCAAACAACAAGATCTGAAACCATCCATATACCAGGAGTCACAAAGGGGTGTCCAATGAAGTACCCCACACTACCTATAGGCTTCCAAACAGGACACCCCTTTGTGACTCCTGGTACCAGTAGACGGAAACACACACAGGTTCCCAACGTTTCCCAAACCAAACCTGCTGGTCTGGAAACCCCTCGTTCCCGCGTCTGGCACCTGACCGGTGATCTGCCGATCCAACTACTCCAACCCCACGAGCGCAAGTCTCTTTGCCCAAGAGGAAAGTGCTTGTTCAATGATTCTTCTGCAGCCATTCATCACCTGCTTCACCATCCCTCACTTTCGGGTTTCCACCAAGATAGGTGCCGGTCCCAGCCGGTCGCGCGCGCCGTTGGGCCGTTTTTCCGAGCTACAGAATGTCACCCCCGGCTGAAGTTGCCGAGTTCGGTCCCCTTCAGGGTCCCCCGGTCTTGGAAGCCGCGAAGATGAACGGGAAAACTTGGGGGTTTCTGCCAGCCGCGGTTGGATGAAGGAGGGGCGACGCAGTGCTGCTCAAGTTTGAGTTTGGATTCGGCTGGATGTGTTTTCTTCGGAAGGTCGAAGCATTCTGCAAGAGATTGACATGCAAACGGACCAACCCCAAAATCACCAAGACGAATTGGGTTGACTTGGGCGGTTTGAGAAAAAGTGTAGTTCACCAGCTGTTTGGTCTTCGGAACATGGTCATTCGAAATCGGGGCCATGCCGTCCACGTAACCACCATGATTCTATCAGAGTGTTGAGGGTTTCAATCATTTTCAACCCAGACGTCCCTCTTTTGGATCACCAGGGAGCCTTGTAGCCTTGATTGAGCGAAATGCTGTAGGGTGAGAAGAAAGCTGTACGGTAGTTCATGGTTAAACATCCTAAGAAATTAACAGTAGTGCCTCCACCTAGTAGCGATTGCACCTACTCCTTCACCTCAAAGTACTCGACTACGCCAGTTTGATCGCCTCTTCGAGTTGGATTGTTGGAGAAGGGTTTCAATCCAGCATTCCTCTACCAGCACCCTCCCCAGGCGGTTAGTTGAGGGTTGTTGGACCCTGTCTCAGGTCTCAATTGGTGACCCGTCGGAGGGAACCTGGTATAGTCTAAGTACTCTAAAGTGCACCAAACAGATCCCCAAAGGGATCCTCCTGCTACACCCCCTCTGTCAGAATGCCGCGGCGCGGCGCGGCATGCGGCGTCGAAACGGCCCCAGGCAGCCTAACATGCCAATCACCACACGATCCAAACCCGCCATGAGACACCTACTGGCGGGAATGGACCTGAAGCTACCAGGAAGCCACGTGGCAGATCCTCAAAATGTACAAACTCTGCTGAGCGGTGCCACCACCACGAGAACGACTGGTGGATCTTGGGAGAGATCAAATCGAACAAAACAAACTACAAACGCGCCTACACGCGCGTACACGCGAACGCGCCGCACTCGTTGTTGCTGCTCTAGAAGCCTTATGTGACCATTTGCTGGATGGGCAAATGCCAAACATACTACCCGCTGCACTACCCGCTGTGTAACTGGGAGGTAGTGGTAACTGGGAAACTTTGGGGGTGGACTCTTGATTCATCAACCCCCTCCATTTGGATTGTAAAAGCTGAGTTGAACTCTAATCAAGAGTCTACATGACCGATTTCTCCAGTTCGTTTACTCCTGGGCCCAACCCTTCCGAAGAGTACCACACACCATCAGCAAGCAAAGGTGAATGCACCGAAAAATCCTGGGGCACAGGTCATTCGCAGAGTACGCGTCAGAAAACTCTGGTGAAAGTATGGAATCCCTCCTTGCGACCATAGCTTTGGCTTGAACGTGGCGAGGGAACGACATTGACACTGGCTGCTTGCAAAAAACGGATCCAAAACTTCAAGATACTTCAAGGGTTTCAGCTACTCAAATCTCGTGCATCAAGCCAAAACCCGCCTTCGCCGCTACAAGAGATCCTTCTTCAGAATCTCTTCCGCTGGCGGCCAGCACTCCCTTCTCCGCAAAACACTTGGGCACCCGTTTCTCCAGGAATCCCAAGTCCCGCGCCAAGCACTGGACGGTTTACCTAAGAGCCGCGCGGGGCTTCTGACCTCAGGACCTCTCAACAGGCCTTGTTGAAGTGCTGACAGCAGTAGTCGCGTTTCTCCGAGGTCCACCGTGATGCATCTTCCAACCTGGGCGAGGCTGGAAAAATGTGTGGACACGGGTGGATGTCAGCAGTTGATCATCAGAAAATGCCATCTATTCAAAGCATCACGAGGTGGTGAGCTGGCACCCCGCCGCTGGGGTTCTATTTACTTCGCCTTTAAAAGGGCAAGCTGCTGTTTGTCCACCCAACTCGGTTCCCGTTCGGTCTTGATAAGAGTTCGGCTCACCAGCTGGGCATCTTTTGCAACTTGCAGTGGAGCGGGTCATATGAATGTGACTGAATGCGGGTCAAAGCTGAGAACCTCCAAGTGTATAGGTTCACATCGTACCTGGAGTCCCAGCCATATGTCCCAGCGCAGATGATCTAGTCTCTGGTCCCCGTGCGGGTCCCATGTTCTTTCTCCAGCTGTTCGTTCCCGTTGGGGCTCCTGTCCCTCAGGTTCGGTGGGGATAGACTCCCAAGAAAAACCACCCACCCCAGTCCCATCTTCTGAAACGAAGATACGACTGGAGCCCAAACAGAAGAAGAGAGGACTTTTGGGCGGAGCCATGAGCCAAATCCTGTGGCAGTCCTGACCATTTCCATCCAAAAACTCCCAGACTCATCCAGACTCTAGCCATTCCCAAGCGAGACTCTCAGGGTTCCCTGTCCGCGCCGTCAGATGACTTCGGGTATATGACTTCCATCGACACTCGTTCCGACCCTCTATTATATACAGTACTTCATATTACCTGGACCTTCTTTAAGGGGTGTCCAATAGAGGTCCCTAAGGCCCTAATAAGTAGTGTGTGTGTGTGTATAGCACGGGGCTTCCTCCCATTGGTGACCCCGACATGAAGGTGCTGGTCAGTGCTGGTAGGTCAGTGCTGGTAGAAAACGTCTAAACCATCAAGCCATCTATCCTATCCCGTTTGGGCTCCTGTCCCATCTCCTCAGGTTCGGTGGTTAGACCACCCTGGCACCCACCCACCCCAACCCTCTTCTGGTGATGTGGGACAGGAGCCCTATACACTCCCTCAGGAACTTTTCATGAATGAACATGGATTCCATATGGCCAAAAAAGAGTATACACCGTTTTCCGAAGACCCAAAAAACAGGTGGGTGAAATGCTCACTCCACTCCACGGTTCCCACAATAACATCACTCTACGCCCGGGAAAATTACCATGGAACCTGAAAACCACGCCCGGTTTGTAGAAGGAACATATACTCTTTCAGTCTAGTCCATGCCGTTCGCCCGGTTCGTGAAATTTCCCAGGTGGAACTCCCATGATCGGTGCATCTGGGAAGTTGGATTGAAAGATGATGCACCTGGTTCTTCAAAGTAACCTAACTTGACATCCTGGTTGGTTCAGTCACCTGAAATATAGGCCTATAGGATCCTATAGGTCACGACTGGGGACTCCAAAAAGGTCACGTACTGAAGAAGCTGGCAGAAAAAGACAAAACCTGCAGTCACAAGACGGGGTGCGATCCATGGAGGTAGTCGGGGTGCCCAGAACATGACTCTTGGACCTTTCTCCTTTCGTCCCACGGTGACTCGGTCAGAGACGCTTCGACTCCCCCCCCCCCGAAGCTCCCAAGGGGTGGTGAATGGACACCCGGAGGTCAAGGGGCTAGTAATGGACACCCGGAATCTGTGGTGCTGGTTTTTGGGTTGCTTGAGAATGGAAAAGAGGTTTCTTGGAAACAGTCCTCCCTCCTCTCCTCCCCTCCTTCCTCCTCCCTCCATCTTGCTCCCTTTCTCCGACTGGTGAAGGACCCAGGTACCCGGTGACGCAGTTGTAGGTCTTGGTCACATGGCTCTTCACCTGCTGCCAGACATAGACGCCTTCTGCAGCCTTCACCCGGGTCCACCTGGGTGAACTGAAGCGATGACTGCGATGACGAACCGTGCGGCTTTGTCCGTGTGGACCGTTTTTTCAAGTGTGGACCGTGTGGAGGTGTGGCTCAAAGAAGAACGGAAGCCGATCAAGGACACTCCCTCACAAAAAATCATGAAGTGACAACCACCTGGCACTGGTCTTCGGATTTGTCATCCAATCGAAACGATGGTGGTGCACTTCCGTGGATTCCTTTCGAATGTAGACCGGTTTCGTTCCGGAGGTCCAGTCGACCATGTTGTAAACATGGTCTGCCTAAATCCGACTTGAGGAATTGCCACTGGGAAAAACGAGAAACAATGCAAGATGACATCTCCTTAAAGTGACATGGCAACGGTCAAAAACCGCTGCCAATGTAAAGAGATTGTCGGACCTGACCTGTCTGTTTGTTTTTCTTGGGCGCTGCATGTTAGATCATCATGGGAGTTGGTGGAGTGAGTTTTCAACCCCCCCTGTCTGCTTTTGGTCTTTGGAAAGCTCATGAATGGCCAGTCTTCGGGGTGTCATCCACGAATCCACCGACGTCGGCACCGGTCTTCCGCGGTCGATTTTCGGGTCTCTGCCGGTGAGATCTGAAGGATGTTGGGCAGAGAAACCACACATGGGCTCATAGAACGCCCGAGCCCGAGCAGGAAAAGCAGATCAGATTCACTGAAAGAGTCGCAGGTCAACAAACTCATTGTCATGAAAGGGCGTTGGATCTATATCAGGGCCATCGGAGATCACCTGTCGCTTGCAGACCTCTTGCAGCTCTTCCATGTTGGTGATCTCCGGGCACTGGCAAGAACTCGAAGCAATGATGTGATGCTGACAGGCAGACCACTTGGCAAAGCAGGCGCCGCAACTTGGACATGCATATTTGGCCTCTCCCAAAACGCTCCAGCTTGTTGGCGCCGCACTGGAATTCGCCGCGCCAACAACTGCACTGGAATTCACCGAGGAGGAGTCAGCACCCACTGTTTCGTCCAGTGAGAAAAGCTTGGGGAAGATCTCATGGACATTCAATCGCATTTCAACGATCGGCTGGGATTGGCTATCCTCCAGCTCCCACGTGGGCATCCCTGGCCCGAGGGCCAGGGTTGTTTCGTCTACTTCTCGATGGCGGGAAGGCTCCGACCATGGATGCGGTGACCTGGACCACTCAGACCACTCGTCCTTCCTCCAGTCTGACCAGCGGTCAGGATACGAGTGCAAGCCCTTGGAGCTGCTTCCATACCATTCTTTGGTCCATTGATCGCCCTTCGAGCTGCCCCACCCTCGACGGTCCAGAAACACCTCCCGGGTGGGGAGGCGAATGCCCTGCTCATCGAAAACCATTGGCTTGCAGTCCTCTGGCACATTGCAGTTCACCCAATCAGCCTGCCGCTGCTTCTCGATGTTGGCCTCCAACCCTTGGATCGAGGACCACTCGCCTCTACACGTCCCCTCTCCCCATCCGTGAAAGCCACCAGGCCATCCGGTGAAGCCCGTGAAGTAGCGCTGGCACACGACGGCGGCCTCGTGCGAACGAAAGTTGATGTAGGCCTCGCCGAGTCCCAGGCCCTCCAAGCGCTCCACGTTTTCCAGGGGTAGATAGAAATAGTCGTAGCAGCCCAAGAAGTTTGCATCCAAAAGTCCCAACAAAGTCTCGGCGTTCAGGCGTTTCGGCAAGCCTCTGAGCACCACCGTGGTCGGTTCCAAGGTCCAGGCGGAATCCATGGGAACAAAAGAACGTCTGCAGATGATTGGATGGAAAAAAGTCTTTTGAGCCAAATCAACTGGGCAACTGGGCGTCTGTTTTCGCTTTCGGGTTTCGAAGGCCCCTTCTAAAATCCGAGATCATTTTCTTGCCGGAGTTGAGCCCGGAGTCAGAGAGCCCGGAGTTGTCGAAGGGGAGGTATCATGTGACCAAACCCCCGCTGTCAACTACCAGCACCACCCAGTTCGGGTGGTTAGATGGAAAATACATCTTCAGAGGGGGTCTATAAACCACCCGAACTGGGTGGTTCTGGTACTTCGTTCTTCGGGACGCGTTCCGCTCCGAAGGTGACCATCTTCCGTTCCGTTCGACCGTCAGCGCCGTTCTTCGTGCCCGGTGGACGAGCCGGGTGTTAAGCTGGAGGACCCCAAACATCCATCCATCCATCATCATCCATCTGATCCGCAACCTCCTCGCTCCCTCCTTTCTCTTGGGGCCTGTAAACCCTTTTCAGTGAAAAGGAAAAAGCTTTGGGGCCACAAAGCAAAGCAAGACAAAACTGTTTACAAGTTGCAGCTTTTAGAGGAAAGAAACGGCCCGGTGTTGCTCCCCTTTCACATACCACAAATCCTTTACACGCCGAAACCACGCCGTTCTCCCCTGGGTAGGGGGAGAACAACCCTGACTCAGACAGCCATGGGCGCACGGGGCTGTCTACCAGCACCACCCAGTTCAGGTTTATAGAGCCCCCTTACAGATCATCCAACAACCGGTTGATGCTGGTAGTAAAGAGGCTGATTCTTTGAGGGTTAGGGTGCTTATGGGTGCTTGGCTTTCTTTGTTCTCTGAACACGGCTGCCGTTGGTCTGCCGTTCGTCTGCCTACTTAGATCGGACGACAGACCCGTTGGCGTGACCGGCGACACGAACAGTAGTGAACAGGAGACGGAACAGGGCATTGTGTTTTTCTTCCCCGAAAAGACGCAACGATCGTTCCAAAGAGGAAGGTGAGACCTTGAAACACAAGGGTGGCAGGAGTCCTGCAGGAGTCCTGCAGGAGTCCTGCAGGAGTTGTGGGTGCCATGAAGGGGGAAAGCCCTCCACTGGGCATTTCCTATGTATAAATTGATCTCAATTGCCATATTGGAATTGTCCGTTTCTTGATGCTATGAAGGGTCCAAGGATTCTGAATCCTTTCAGGTTCAAAGAGGGAGCTGAGTCTCGAGGCGATGCGGAGCACAGCGGCTGTGGCTCTCTGCGGCTCACTCTCCAGGCGCATGGAGACCACTGACCCACAAGGACCATGAGGACCACGAGGGCTTCTCCCATGGGTTTGTTCCACTACCGACCGGTGACTTAGGACTTGTGCGGGCCAATGACATAGAAGTAGTTCACCCACCATCCCATCACATCCTGTCCAATCCGTCGAAACCCGAAGAGGAAGAAGACTTCCACACACACACACACACCAGTTTACGACCGTCAGACCTGTCGAGCGTCGAGCCCCTTTGAAAGAGAGATCGACTGTGGTGTTTTCATCCACGAGTTTCTCATCCAGATCTGGTTCGAATGATTTCCGAAGTCTCGCAGCTCCTAAGTCTCATCTAGCCACCCAGACGCGAAGGCTGGACCCTCAGGAGCCGTACCCGAATCCTCTGGAGGGGTACGGACCCGAACCAATCCCGGTTTTGAATGGTTTTGAGGGACCAGTCGGGCTGTTTGGAGTGTCTGGGCAGGTCTGAATCACAGCCAAAACCACCACCTGCATCTCAACATCTAAAGCATGATCGGCCTTCCTTCCCCCCAAGCCCCATCCGTACCTGGATGCAAAACCAACAGCTTCGTGACACCACCCAGCTTCGTTTGAGTCACCCAGCTTCGTTTGAGTGACCTCAATGCCAGGAGGATCCAAAAGGACTCAAATCAAAAAGGAATCAAGAGCTCACCTTGAATCACCACGAGCTCACCTTTGTGTTCTTCCCGTCATGTTCCCTCAAAACCCATCCCGAAACAGCGAAACAGCGAAACAGGTGATTTCAGGTGTCCCTCCTTCCCCACCACCCCAACCTCCGTCCCCGCAGTCATCCGACTCCTTCGGCCCCCACCCCCGCCTCCCCTCCCCTCCGTCCGCGTCGTACGCCCGAGCGGCTGGTGGCCGTGCTGCAGCGGCACCGTGGGCTTCACTGGTCCGGTACAAGCCACACCTTGGTGCGCGCAGCACCTGGGAGCCGGTGACCGGAGTGAAAGTGGAGTAGTGGAGTGAAGAGTGTAGGTGGGTGGAGGTGGAGATGAGTGGAGGAGTTCATCGTGTTTTGCGGGAGAGAGGCGTGTTCTTTTTTTGAGGGTGTTTCCTTTTTGGGGGGGTGGAGATGGTTGGATAGGATAGAGATGGATAGAAGTAGACAGGTAGACAGGTGTGGGTCGACCAGTGCGAGGGATGGAGATGTCGCATCAGCCAAATGGCTGAGACTTCTTGAGTCACGTGAGGTGGTCTTTTCGAGACCAACGGGAATGTTACGGAATGGTGTTTCCAGAACGAAAAGGATTAAAACAAAAACCGTGAGAGTCCAAGAGGTCATGTAGACTCTCTTCAGGTACATGAACCACCCCCGTTTGAATTGAACCACCTCGATTCATAGGGGGGGCGAAAATAGATGAAAATATAAATATATTAATCAAGACCAGAACCACCCAGTTCGGGTGGTTTATAGACCCCCCTGAAGATGTATTTTCCATCTAATAACCACCCCTTGGGTGGTGGGAGTCTACATGTATTTAAGAAAGGGTCTGACTACTGGTCCGACTCCGTCACCCGAGTTCAGGATCGACTTCGCCAGATCCTCCAACTGGACCGGTTTCATCCATGCGACGACGAACGGCGTTCGGGAACAAAGATGAGGTCCGAAGCAACAGGCATTACCCATGCCCGTTGGCCGTTTGAAAGGGGCGAATCAAGAAGCTGAATTGGAGGGACTATAAAGTTACAAACAAGTAAGGCCTTTTGGCAGGGGTGTTTGATTCTGGAAGGGTTTGGGTTATAGAGTTACACATAATCCCTATAGGCCCTAGAAACCACTCATCTATTTCATATAGCCTTTGCTGAACAACCGTTTTGCTAAGGATTCTACATGATTTTACACTACAAAACTAGATCGTGCCCTTGTTGAAAACTGGTCATCTGGACTTCCAGGGTAGGGCTCCAACGGCCGCTTTCTCCTTTTCAAAGATGCCACGTTGCGTGTGGGGTGCGTCTTTGCGTATACGTTTGGGGTGACCAAAAATGGTGATGCCCATCTCCTCAGCTTTTCGATGGGTCAGTGGGAGCCCCGTTTCACGGGAAGATCCAACGGATCAGCCGTGGAGCCTCAGGAGCCTAGATCCATCTAGACTCAGACCGTCGACTCACTGAGGAAAAACCATAGGCGCGGGGCCCGGAGGTTTCTTCCTCGGGGGGGTTCGTGGTTTTGTGCGTGGCATCCGCAGAAAGCACCTGTACAGGAGGTGAAGCCAAATCATCCGTCGACCTAGAACTGTATAATATATAATTATAGTTATAGTTCTCAGTTAGATTAATTTTGCTAGCAAAAAGATGCAACAAGCTAGCGATTCCTCATCTCTGATCTGCACATTGGGTTGTTGACTTGCATTGAATGATTCTCTGCGCAAACCCACCATAACCATCCATAACCCGCCGTCATCCCGCGATCGGTCTTTTCCATGCTCGCGACTAGTCGCGGCGATCGCTGTCCTGCTAGGCCTTCAGCTGATTCACTGAAAGCGACGCTCTTCCTCTACAATGCTCTCCTGATGTGTCTGAATCGCCTGTCCTCTGTCCACCTCCTTCTCTGTCCTGTGGATCGCCTGTTTACAGACCTCTTGCAGGTCCACCTTGTCCAGCTCGATGACCTTCACACATTCGGAATTCACAATGTGATGCTGACAGGCAGACCACTTGGCAAAACCAGCTCTGCAAGCTGGACAGGCATACTTCGCCCCACACGCCACGCAGGAACTCTCGCTCTCGCTCCACACTGCCGGGGCCGCGCGGGTCGCGTCCACGGAGTCCAAACGGAGAGGGTCCACCAAGCGAAGCCCCTCGAAAAGCTCAACCAACGAGACCTGCTCCGAAGGCGAGACCTGGGGGACCTTCGTGACCTCGCACTGTTCAAGCTGGGAGACCTCCTGGAAGCCCCTCATGCCAGTGTCCCACCTGTCTTTCTTCGACCAGGCAGACTTCTCTTTCGACCAGGCAGACGTCCAGGTCTCATCCCTCGACCAGGCAGACTTCTCTTTCGACCAGGCAGATGTCCAGGTCTCATCCCTCGACCAGGCAGACTTCTCTTTCGACCAGGCAGACTTCCACGTCTTGTCTTTCCAGGAATCCTCTTTCGACCAGCCATAATTCCATTCTGTCTTGCTCCATTCTGACCAGCCCTCATGCGTATTCCGATCTGATGGCTGACTGGAGCTGCTTCCATACCATTCATTCGTCCATCCTTTGTCATTCGAGCTGCTGCCCGAAGCCTTGTTGTCTAGAGAGACAAACACCTCCCAGGTCGGGAGGCGAATGCCCTCCTCATCGAAAACCATTGGCTTGCAGTCTTCTGGCACATTGCAGCTGACCCAATCAGCCTGCTGCTGCTTCTCGATGTTGGCCTCCAACCCTTGGATCGAGGACCACTGTCCTCGACATCTTCGGTCATGCTGCGTCCCAGGCCATCGGCTGAAGCCGTTGAAGTCACGGCAGCACCTCACGGCGTCCGCATGAGAACGAAAGTTGATGTACGCCAGTCCCCTGCTCTCCACCCGTTCCACGTCCATGGGTAAATAGAAGTAGTCGTAACGGCCTGCGAAGCTCTTGTCTAAGATCCCCAACATGATCTCGGCGTTCAGGGTTTTCGGCAAGCCGGTGAGCACCACCGTGGTCTCACTGTGAGGAACTTCTGCAAACTTCGAGGATCTGCGAGCTTCCATGGCGAAGCACCACACACTCTTTGGTCTGGCGAACACCGCGTTTTTGGGGTCTAAGAGAAACACATCGCGCCGGCTCGAGCCGGACCGCGCCAGAACGCCGAGAACGCACCGTCCTTTCCATCCTAACGTCCTTTCCGATTCGAGGTCGGGATCGACCAAAACCAAAAAAACCAGGAGTCACCAGACGGGGTGGTGTTTGGTCCCTAAGTGAGTGGATGTTCTGGGCACCCCGACTCCCTCCATGGATCGCACACCTTTGTGACTGCTGGAATAAACAACATGTCATGTGCCAGCACCTTCATGTCGGGGTCACCTGGCTGGAAGCCCCTGGGTGAACCTAGCGAACCACTGGACTCCAGACGATGTCCGATGGATAGACGTCACAGGGGTTCGCGCAAACGGTATCTTTTCGGGGGTGGTGGAGACCCGATTTGAAAGGTGTCAACACACCACTTGGAAGATCCCCCCAGTCGTTTGCAATGTTTTTAAGACACACCCCACTCGCCGTGGGCGTGGGAGGCATGGGGTGACTTCAGGATCCCTGTGATGGACCTTTTCATGGACAATCTATCGACTGAGGACGATCCATGTCGCGCGTGGTCAATGAGTCCCGGGTGCCCTGAGTATGTGGTAAGAGATAAGGCTTGGATCGAAATCCTGAAAAAGTGCTTGCAACATCCCTGGCTCAATGGAGGAGGCTGAGGAAGGAATCACATTTTATTTTGGCTGGCTATAGTCTTTGATTATCTTATACTTCTTCCGGATATACAGTATAATTGGAGATGTATATACAAGATAGAATGTTCACCCTCATGGTTTCAAGGTCTGCACCCTGTCACCCCCACCTCGGACCTCTCTCTCCACCCCACTCCCCACCACTCTCGGACAGGCCGGAGGCACCAGTGCTTCTTCGAGTTGGCCCAGCCGTGGACAAAGTCTTGGCCGCCAGTCGTCCGGGGAGAGGAGGGGGGGCACGAGGTGGGGTCCCAGGTCATCGAGGGTGGAGGCCACAGGGGTCTCATGGGGTCTCTTGCAGTCTCCCCTCTTCGACCCACCAACCAACCGAGAGTACCAGCACCAACCAAGGGCTCCGGTGGTTACGAGGGGGACGTTTCCATCGAAGGAATCCACCAAAGGCCGCCCTGTTGAATTTGAGAGTTCAATACCCTAGACTTCCGTTCGACCATTCAAAAGATGGGAACGACCTGGAGTTTGTAGTGTAAAATCCTTAGTTGATTCGGTAAAGGCTATTGAATTAAGGGTGGGCCAGGAAGCCTAGGGATAGACTCTGAATATATTCTCTAGTGGTCAACTGCTGATTTAAAAGGCTTTACCATCCAAGTGACAGCGGGGAGGTTTTGTGATGTTAACCTGGAACCACGAGTGACCTCTGGCCATCGATACGAAGCTTGGACCACCTTTTGGGTCGGTGGTTGGTGGTCCCAAACCCATACACGACACATGGGACTGCCATCGTTCTGCCGCACCAAGACGACCCCCCCTGGTACCACCAGAATCAAGGCCGTTTAGAAGGCAGTCCGGCAGTTCCCGTGCGTCGGTCGCGTCTGGGAAATCCAAGAGAGGTAGCCAGTGACCGGGACCATAGGACCTGTCACCTGGGGTACCCAACTGGAATAGTCTATTTCGGGTCATGAAAAACCTCTGTTGGATAGAGGTCACGACCCGGTTCCAGGTTCCGTGATGACGGACACGGCCACGCGGGCGTGGCAGGCGCGGCCGTCCCAGATGGAGGAGGTCGAAGGGTGGGTTTGGCCCCCTCTCACCCCGTCCTTTTTGGGGACGGCAAGCGTTTTGTGGCGGTCATGATTGACGGGATGATGTCATGATGATGCTTGATGATGTATACAAGTCCAGTCTGACGCACTAAAACCTGGTCCTGAAAACCTTCTTGAATAGTGTTTTGTATGAACCAACTTCAGTAAAATGAGGTCAGTGTATAATGTTTGATGGTGATCTGCCAGAGTCGTTGGAAGACATGCCAAGTCTCGTTGCGTCACTCTTCCAGCACTCGTGGTTTGCGGACATCACGAATTCAGATCGCTTCAGATTTCAAGTGGTGGAGCCCTTGAGATCCCAAAGAAGTAGGTTCCATCTCCAAAGACTCACAAAACACGGTTGAGTCATGTTGAGTCAGTGGTTTCCATTGTCCCCAAGTACAGGTTGAACATTGAAGACATCTGAAGCCAGTCTCCCCATGACTTGAAATCGCAAGTAAAAATCCTCATCAACTTGTCGCTTGCGATTTCATGAGTTGCTGGTCCAAGAACCGTCCCAGGATGGGAGCAGGACTGGTGCGACAAATGCCCGGAAGGCCTGCCGTGAGACCCGGTCGCCCAGAAGACCCCTTTAGAAATTGCTTGACCTATAGTTTTTGGGGGTCCACAAATCCTTGGAGTAAAAGAGAGCAAAAGACTTCACATGAATTCACTCCAATCATCTCAAGTCCACATTCCTTCCACTTGACCACATTCCTAACACCTTTGGGACATTCGTGTGAAGAAGCTTCTTGTGGCCACTCCATGGCGCAAACCACCCCATCCACGATCCACGGCGCTTCACCCACCACGATCCAGCGCCCAGCTTAGCTTCACTCTGAGCCGCTCGAAAGCCCCTCCTGGCAATCGAAGCCTGCCACGGCTGTCGGCTCCTTCCACCCGACCCGGTCAAGACCGGTCTTCCGGTCCGGTCGTCCGGTCACACCGGTGGGTATGGGAACATGTCGTCGATGTAAGCACCCTAGCCCGGTAGGGTGCCTCTATGTGTATATGTTCTTACAGAATGGACCCTTGTTCCTGCAGACCCCTCCCATGTTCTAAGGCCGATCTCAGGACAAAATGGTATGCCCTGGGAGTCAAAGACTATACAAAGAATGGTCTGACTGGGTGGACCCAAGTCTAGGCATGTCCTTGACTGCAGTCGGTCCAAATATCGCCGGACTCGACTTCAATTCGGGTGTTTCCAATGGCCTCCCTCGGACCACTGCGCTTGCCCGCCACCACCACCTTCCGGTCGGTCCGTCTCCCCTCCGCCCGCCTCCCTCGCTGGACCCGCCGCTCTCCGCGCCGTGCTCCACCGGCGGGGCGCCGTGCTGGGCGGCCGTCAGTGATGCGCCGGAGGAGTCACACCCCGAGATGAAGGAGTATCCAATCCAATTCTCACGAGGACCCCACCGTCAGTCGGGGTGTGTGTTTCTTTTGGGGGACACCCCTTCACAGCATCTAGCAGCCCCTAAGACGACGGGTGGCCTGGTATGATCACAAATGGTAACTCTCTTCTTTTTTGATGTTTTTTTGGTGGTTGACCAAGCGGGAGTAAGAATGTGTTGGGCGTTCCTTAAGGCCAGGCCAGTTCCACAAAACTCTGGACTGGACAACTGGCAACTGCTAATAGCGATGGCCTCCAACCTAGTTACCAGTAGTTGGAAGAGATGACGCTTGAAACCACGACAAACGCTTGGAGGTCGAAGGCATCCTCAGGCGCTGGAGATGTGTTTTCTTCAGTGACAGTGTGGTCGACTTTCTTGAGACTCGACCGTGCTATCTGGGTGTCTATCTGGTTCCGAAAAAGGTGACCCCAAACTGAGCTCTCCCGAGGTCAGCCTCCTTGTCGCACCGCTCAGGGTCCAAACCGTCAAAAGGGTCCATGGAGTCCATGACCGCTGAGTTAGAGCTGTTCCACCCAGCTGCTCCGAAGCGCTGCGCCAAGACCGCCGGACCGGAAGAGGCCCCGATCCACACAGCCCGCGCCACTGTGGCGCGGCGAAAACCGTCAACCAAGCCATTGATGTCCCGCTCTTGTAGAGTGGTTGTTTCCTACCAGGACCACAACCAAGTCCGGTTTTAGAAGCCTAAGTCAGGTGGTTTCTGGCCACCAGGAAACACCTGATTGGAGGGTCCAGGTATGGTTCACTGTGAATTCCAAAACGTGGGCACCGTGTTCCAGTAGCCTGCAGCTCGCTCTCCTCGCCATAACGCTGTTGGCAAATCTCCCTCCTCCCAAAACATCCAAAACAGCCCGACCCGGTTCCCCCCCAAAAAGTCTTCGTTCGAACCCAAAATTCCTCCATCTCGGAAGAAATCCAGCCATAGAAACATCCGTCATCCGTTACAAAAGCCCAAAAACACACACTATATGTACCAGTTTAAAAGACAAATGAAGCACCTCATCTCGCTTTCTGTTTCCACCCCCGGCCCCGCTGGCATGCTCCCCGCTGCCCCCCTGCCCCCTGCCCTCCGTTCACCATCCCGCCTGTTGGATCACCTTCTTCAGCCACGTCCAGGTGCCGTCCACCTGGCTGCTCGACGTTTTGGACCACCGTTTCGGCCACGCGGTTCGGACCGTTGCACACACCGGGTGTGTGCGGTGTGAAACACACGGCACCGCACACCGCACCCAAGGCGGGCTGTAGGAGCGCCAAGGAGGATCGGATGGGTCGGATGGGTCGGATGGGCGGTGGTTGGTCTTCCTTTTCTTCTTCAAGGACCGGCCTGCGGCGCCTGGTAATAATGGCCTCAGGTCATGAAGTCTTCGTTCTGCCTTTTGACTGAGGAGCTTTGGGCCTACTTTGGACCTTTTGGTCTGTTTTCCTGAACAAAATGGTGAAGTAATCGTTCAAGAGTCTTCAGTTCCAACATGCACAATGTACGGTCTATCTATACCAGCACCCTCCAACAGGTCTTCTGAAGGCTTTTGGAGGCTTCTTGTCGTAGCAGACCTGGCTTTCAGGTTGGTCTAGAATCTGCATGTTCAGTGAGTTGGATGTTCATGGACAAATGTTTCAATGCTATTTGTAGCCCCTTCATGCATGGAAAGGAATTCTTTGCGCAGCGATTGGTTTGGTTTTAGAAGCACATAGGTTGCAAATTACTGATGGATTGCAGGTGCTTTTGTGGATTGGTTGAGTTGCATTGATGAATGAAAAGCGGTTTGCTACTTGGAAAAGGAAATACAAAACCATAAAATATAACAACAACAGAATAGTAATTATTCAGGGGATCATATGTATTCCATTGGTGTTTTTGGTGTGCTTATTATGAAAGGAAAGACAGTCCATGATAGTAAAGGAAGTGATGGTCATTAAAAATATTGCATTCTTATGTTATGTCCTTTACTTTGCGTGCAAAATATTCAATGTAGATATAAAATTATTGTATTCTTGACAATCCACGGCCTGAATAGACAAAAGAGATGAAAAATAAATACTGAAAAGCCAAGACCATTTTTTGCGTTCG